CACCAGGGGCCAGACAGTCGACCGGTCGACCAGTCGCTATGACGTGCACTGACACCAGGGGCCAGACAGTCGACCGGTCGACCAGTCGCTATGACGTGCACTGACCCTACCAGGGGGACAGTGGACCGGTCGACCAGTCGCTATGACGTGCACTGACCACCAGGGGCAGATAGTCGACAGGTCGACCAGTCGCTACGAGGGATCCCACTGGTGCACAAATTCGTGCACCGAACCTCTCGTAAAAATATTTTATTAAAAAAAAAAACAAAGAGAAAGGATGTTCATATTAAGGATTCCGGAGGTACTGAACCCCTGATCCTACTGTGATGCGCCTGGGGACGGAAGACAATCCATGGTGACGTCCAACCTAGACGTCGTAGCATCTGTCCGAGCCGGCGTCGCAAAGCTCCTCTGGCCAAGACCATGATCGAGGGTCGACCAGAAGTTTCTTTCCGCTCCTTCTTGCAAACGAGGTGAGAAGATGGCGAGAAGGTGTGGGGGGGCTGGGACCAGCTGGCGGCTTCCTGCTGGGCGGTTCACGGTCTACGTTGCTTTTTATTGGAAGGCACTCAGGTTGGTCGACCATCAATAATGACAAATACAGGCACGGAGGTGAACCATGAAGACAGGCATGGAGTTGAACAGCGTTGCCCTCTGGGCAGACACGAGAGGAGACGTCCGCCCAACAGAACACGGCGGACAGAACCCCCGCGTCACTGCAGGAACCGGTCCAGCTTCTCCTGGATGCGGGCAAAGGCGTCCTTGCCCATGTAGTCGATATGGCCCTCTTCCCACTTCCTCCTCTGTTCCTGGGGGCTCAGTGCCCTGACCTTCTCGCTGATGGAGATCTCGGAAATGGACATGGCCAGGTCCACCTGGGGGAGACAGGCCGACAGGAGATGTTTCTTGTTTGTGAAGTTTTTACGAGCGGCCCGGTGCACGAATTCATGCATGGGGTAGGGGGTGGGGGGGTCCCTCAGTCTGGCTGGCGATCAGGGCTGATTGGGGCCAGCTGGCTGGGGGTAGGGACCATGGGAGGTTGGGTGTGGGAGTGCACTAACCACCAGGGGGCAGCTGGCATTGAGCATCTGCCGCCTGGTGGTCAGTGTGTGTCATAGCGACCGGTGAACTGGTCGACTGGTCGTAATGGTAGCTTAGGCTTTTATACATATAGATTGATTTCAGAGAGGAAGGGAGAGGGAGAGAGAGAGAGAGAGAAACATCAAGAATGAGAGAGACCAAATTGTGTTATTAGATCTTCATTAGGAAAAATAAATAAATTAGCAATCGCTTTCATTAAATGCATCCATGGGCCCGGCCAGTGTGGCTCAGTGGTTGTCCATTGACCTAGGAACCAGGAGGTCCCGGGTTCGATTCCCGGTCAAGGGCACAGGCCCGGGTTGTGGGCTCGATCCCCAGTTAGGGGGTTTGCAGGAGGCGGCCGATCCGTGCTCCTCTCTCTCTTCAGGGATTTTTCCCTCTCTCTCTCTCCCTCTCCCTTCTTCTCTGAAATCAATAAAAAATATATATTTTTTAAAAGATTCACCCCCAATTCTCCAGCCTTTCGACAACGAATGATGATATCAGACAACAGATGGCCGGCTTTCGCTGCTCCCCCAGTTGAATTAATTTTGCAAAGCAGCTTTGAGAGAGAGAAAGGGATTAAGACGGACATGAGAGAGCGAGTAGACCAAGCGCCCAGGCTGGAGAGAAGACGGACGCATCACAGACGCCATGAGAGGCAGGTAGAGTCTATTTCAACCAAGTGAGTTAACGGCTGGGGGGTGCAGGCGGGGAGCCCCGGGAAAGGCAGGGAGTGACTGGCAGAGGCCGAGAGCGAGCAGAAAACTGGGGTACCACCTCCAGCGCATCCTCAGGTCTGGGGTCCCTGGTGACGTTCACAGGGGTCTCCTGGTTTTGTTCCCCGGATTCCTCCGACCGGCCACCTCCTGTCTTGTCCGCTGGCTGCTAGAGACACAATCACCCATTGTGAGTCTGGCTTGGAATTCTGAGAATTTAGTCATTTTTTAAAGTTTATTTTTATTGGTTTCACAGAGGAAGGGAGAAGGAGAGAGAGAGAAATACCCATGATGAGAGAGAATCATGGACCGGCCGCCTCCTGCACGCCCCCTACTGGGGATCAAGCCCGCAACCCGGGCCTGTGCCCTTGACCGGGAATCTAATGTGTCCTCCCGGGTCAGAGGCTGATGCTCGACCCCTGAGCCACGCCGGCCGGTTGAGGCCCTGAAGCTCGGGCCCTCGTGGAAAACGTTCCTTCCACGTGACACACCTCGCGCTGGCTCCCACAGGGGCTT